TAACTGAAAATGACACACTCGCACATGCGCACTCTTAGGGTACACCCCACTTGGTTGCCTTCATACACGGTCATTGAGTATAGGTTGTTTTAGAGGTCGTCCTCTTGTCTAAAAGATCATAGTCGCCTCAAAACGGTTGCCTCGGATATCATTGCCTCGGATAAATGATCTAAGACATTAGGGTTACCGCTAAGGCGTCCTAACATTGCTTTAGTGACCGTAAGTCCCTCATTCGAATTGACCCTTAAACTCCAACAACGATGCTACCTACTGATCAATAGTGGGATAGCATTGCCTAAAGGACATTAGCATAGAACGATTCCTTTTTCGAGTAGGTAAATGGTTCTTAGATACTTTCTCTTTCAAAAAAAAAATCTTTTTCACACTTACACCTTTTCAAACAAAGTTTTCAAAAACACTTTATTACACTCTTGAGGACAGAAACAAGAGTTAAATCGAAGTTTTCAAACAAAAACTTTTTCAAACCCACAAGTACAAAGAAAGCAATTTTGAAAATAATTGAGCAAGTACCTAAGAGCCCGTAGATAACGATGGATATAAAGGGTGCTAATACCTTCCCTTTCTATAATCTACCCCCGAACCCGAGAAATATCTCGAAAAAGGAATTTTTCTGTGCTTTTTTCCTTTCCTTGTAGGATAAAATAAAAGTCGGTTGTGACTCTTGCTTACCGCGACATTTTGCAAAAACAAATGCAAAATGCAAACCAGCATTCCAAAAAACAGTCAGTTCTTCCCACCGTATCACAGACGGGCATGGGTCATCGTATAGCCATGATTAGCAATATTGTAAGATATCTTAGCATTTTCTTTAAGGGACTAAGATCATTTTTAAAAGGCAACTTTGATAGCGTCATCGAGGGACTATGATATTGTATTTTGTTTGTTTTTGCTAAGATACCCCACATGCATAATATGACCATTTTATAAGGCAACAAAGTGGATTTACCCTAAGAGTGTAAGTGTGCAAGTGCATTGATTTACATGCATTATTTTGTCTTTGAATTAGGGTTTTCTAAACTTTGATTTTTATCTTTCCATACAAACCCTAATTTACTAGCATTTATATAAAGCATTAAATTGCGGAAAATAAAAATACTAAGTTATTACATCATTAGGGGAGGGGGTGTACAAATTTACAAATGGGGAAATTGCAAGAAAATTAAAACCCTAATTATCTATTACAACTATATTGAACTTGAATAAATGTACAAGAAATGAAATGAATATAATGTACAAGTATGAATAGATAAGGAATGGATTTTTTTTTTGTATTAAAAGTTTTGATCTAATTAAATTAAAATAAAATAATTGAATAGAATAAGAAAATTAAATTTAAGTTAATAAAAGAAATTAATTTATCAAAGAAAACAAGTTTTTTAGGATTTTTTATGAATTTGATTAAATTAGTAAATAAAATTAATCAAATAAAAGTCTTAAGTTCTAAATTGATTTTAATTTACAAGAAAATAATATATAATAATTAATACTAATTATCTAAGTATTAAAAAAAGGAAATTAATTTATTAAAGAAAATGTTTTTTATTCTTTTGCTTTATGAAGAAAAATAAACTAAATAAATATAAATAATAAAATAAAAATATTTTTTTGGATTTTTATTAATAACAATAAAAATAATATTAATAATAATAATAATAAAGAAAATAAAATAAAAATAAAATATAAAGAAAAAGTCGGGGAGGTGTGAAATTAAACTTGAGAGTTTGTTAGAAAAGTAGTTTTTAATCTGTCCCAAATGATATTTTTGTTTAGAAATAAGAAAATAATTTAAAAAAAGGGTTTGAACCTGTGTGGTAGCAAGCAAGCAGGGGGTGTGGTGCAGCAAAAATGGAGAAAACCCAAAGCTGGGCCCAAATGATATTTTTGTTGTTTAGAAATAGAAATTTTGACTTTTCAAAATGAAATCTTGAATTTTTGACTTCTTAATGAACAAGTTTCATATTTTGATATGTTTTGATGAATTGTGATCTTTGACACTTGATTTTGACCAAAAAGTCAAAGTTTGACCTTTCAGTGTACATTTGACTTTTGATCAGCTAACTGAAAATCAACTATCAATCAATTGATCTTGAGGGATGTTTTGAGTCATGTCATTAAGTCAAAATGATGCAATTGAACTCTTGAGATCATGTCTCAAACCAATTAAACATTTTCTAGGTCAAAAATCAGAAATTGCCCTTTCTTAGTCAAAACCCTAATTTTGACAATTTTGCCCTTTTGATGTTCTGATCAAATTTCTTGAGGAATTTTGGTCCAAACTTGATCAAATGACATATAGGAGTTCACAATGTTGATATGGATAAAAAATCATGAAGTTTGACTGTAAATTGACCACAATTGACTTTCCCCCCAATACAACTGATTTTAGGTCAACTGCTCAATTGATTGAGCAAAAATGTGATCCAAGACTTGAAACTTGACATGAGCAATCTTGGGGGTCCATAATAATCTATGAAAGTCATATGAAGCATTGAAAGTTCAATTATCCTTGTGTAATCTCAAATCCTAATTTCAGTCATCAATGCTTAAGGAGGTGTCTTGAGCTGATCAACCCTTATGCAGTCTTGAACCAAAAGAGATCTTGTGAGAAAATACTTGATAAATGAGAGGAAAAATTTTGGGGTACAACACCTGGGTTTGACACCCATGTCTTTATTTGTTTTTTTCCTAACGCTTGTACTGCAGATCAAGCCTGAACAGACCAACGCGCACAAGATCGAAGGACCTGGGTTCGACACCCAGGTCCTGCATCTTTATTCTTTCTAATGCTTGTCTTGCAGATACGGATTGAAAAGCAGTTTTCCCCTGGGATCCAAAAACAATCATCCTTCATTGGATCGAAGGCCACCTTTCGTTGGATCGAAAGACACTTTCTCTTTAGATCGAAAGACCTTTCCTCTTGCATTTTTATTTTTGTCACTCATTTCTTTTAATAGTTTCCTTTTTTAAATTAACAATCAAATAAAAATCTCAAAAAACATTAGATTAGTATTTTTTTAATTAAGTTAATTTAATTAAATAAATAAATAAATTATTTTAACCTTTTCTTTAAATTAAAATTAAGTAGACTTAGGCTTTGCTTTCTTTTATAAATAAAAATAAACAAAAATATTTCCTTTTCCTTAGGATTTTTAGACGCTCTTTTCCATTTTGCGCGCGTTACATTCATATCATTGTATCTGTCTACTGGATATAATAGTTAAAATTAGGACTTTATTTTTTGCTTTATCTCCCTCATTCTTGGACATGTAATTAATCCCCAAAGTCATATAATAGCGTAGGATTTACATTTCCGCATTTTAAATTTCTGCAAATTATTAATTGTTAGATGTATGTTAATAGGATTGCATGATAAGACTAATAATCAAACGCTAGCAAACTTAACACAAAAGACAAAAATAACTGAAAACAACACATTTGCATATATACACCTCTAGGGTACTCCCACTTTGGTTGCCTTCAGAAAATAAAACAGGCATGTCCCTCAAAACTAGGGACGCTTTAGCAAAGACCCTCAAATCAAAAGATCGTAATCCCTCGATGACTCTATAATGTTGTCTTTCGATAAATGATCTAGTCCCTTAAACAAAATTGCTAAAGCGTCTCTACATGTTGCCTTTATGACTGTACGATGACCCGCGAACGTCCCTCATACATCCAAAATGACTATGACTACCTACTCACTAATAGTAGGCTAGTCTTGTCTAAAGAAAAGGAGAAAAAATAACAAACCCTTCGAGTAAAAGTAGATAGCTGTTAGATGCTTGCTCAAAAACAAACTTTTGCACTTACACAAAATATTTCAAAAACACTTTCAAAAAATGCTTTATCAACATTCTTGAGGACTGATACAAGAATTATCATAAAGCGAATCGCCGCACTAAGACACTTTCAAAAATACTTTTCAAACACACAAAAACACAAGGTATTTCAAAAATGAGCTAAGCATCTAAGAGCCCGTAGAAAACTGCAAATGAAAATGGTGCTAACATCTTCCCTTTCCATAATCTACCCCTCTTACTCACAAAATTCTCGAAAAAGTCTTTTTCTGTTTTTTTCACCATTTCTTTTGTTGGATAAAATAAAAGTTGATGGCGACTCTTTGTTACCACAACATTTGCGAATACAAATGCAAAACCAGTATAACAGTCGATTCTGCCACATTTGTGAATAACATAAACAATCTAACAATTGAATCAGATCAATTATCTGGCTGGTTTTCGGTTCGACCGATCGGTCCGATTCGGTTTTTAAAACACTGAAACTCATAGACCTTTTGTTATTTTTTTTTCATTTCCAAAAGTAAAAGCAAAATAAAATAGTTAATGATTGAAAGTTTCAATTTTCAATGGGTTCACAGCCTTTTTCCCACTGTATGTGAATGTGAATGACGACCGTGTTGTGTGACAGACAGTGTAGCTCATCTTCCTTCTCAAAGTCGTCTCCACGTTCTCTTTTCGTGCTCTATGTATCTTCCTTCATCTATTGCTTTTTTCAGCTAAATTTTACTTTTTTTCTTCTCTCACTTTCTTTCCACTCTCTTTTCATAATTCATACCAAATATTCTTTATTTTTTTATTTTTTGAGATCTGGGTATGCTGCTTTTTGTTCTTATTGTTTTTATTTAGCTTATTAATATTGCTGAGTATGTGATTTTTCATTGATTTGTGTGTTTCTTTTTCCGAATTGTGAAATTTCAGTATTGTTAGGTTCTGTAGACTATAAAAGTATTAGCTTTATTGAAATATGGGAAGTGGGTTGTTGTTTTAGGGTTCAACATTTACTTGTGGAAGAGTTGATTTGAAATCTGAGGTTTGATCTGGAGTTTTTATGTTGTGATTATTGTGTTTATGGAGTTTTGAGTGTTGATGAAGGGTTTTGGTTTTGGAACGAAGCGAGTGATTTGAGTGTTTTTTGGTTGGTGCATTGTGTTATTTGAGGGAACATTTTTGTGGAGAGTGATGGCTTCAATTACTCTTTCTCCAAATGCTTCACCTGTTGTTGCTTTGACTCCATCATCTAGTGTTGTTGTTTTGTCACCACCTCCATCACCTATACCGGGTTCTTCTCTCTCGAATCAAACATCGAATTCTCCTCCTCCTTCGTCGCCTTCTGACCCTTCAGCTCTTCCTCCTTCTGACCCTTCAGCTCCTCCTCCTTCTCCTCCACATGCTGTGCCTGTTACTCCTCCTTCGCCGCCCGTTTCTCCCCCTCCGTCTCCGTCTCCACCACTTTCTCCTCCACCATCAACTACACCGCCGCCAAGTTCTCCACCACCATCGCCACGTGCATCACCACCTCCACCAGTTGTAGCATCACCACCTCCTGCACCGCTTGTAACATCACCACCTCCTGCACCAGCTACTACCAATTCCCCTCCTCCTCCAGCTACTACTACTGCCTCTCCTCCAGATGAAACTTCACCTTCGCCTCCGAACTTGTCTCCACCACCTCCAGCAGCGGGTTCCCCTCCCCCTAAATAATTGAAGCCATTGCCTTCTCAAACAATTTCTCCATCTCCACCACCTCCTTCTCCAGATAATGAATCAAAGCCACCATCTGCCAATCCTCCTCAGACACCACCACACGCAAAGCCACCGAAAAGTACTCCTTCGCCTCCCTTACGTGACGCATCCCCTCCATCAGTTTCTCAACCACCTCCTTCACATGATGCATCCCCTCCATCTGTTTCTCAATCACCTCCTTCCCCTTCAACTGTTCCACCTCCACCCACATTGCCATCAACTCTTACTTCAGGACCTGCAGCAACTCCTACTAACGAAACAGTACATGGTGACAGTCCAATTGTGCCATTTCCATCTATACCAAGTGTTAACGGTTCTGATAATATAGCCACAAACAACGCTCCTTCACATTCAGGAGGGTTAAATACCGGAGTTGTTGTTACTATTGGCGTTGTAGTTAGTTTAATTGTCCTCAGCCTTCTTGGTATCGCTGTGTGCTTTGTACAGAAAAAGAAAAAGGGAAAAGGATCCAGATCTGATTATGCTGCGCCTTCTCCGTATACCTCATCTCACAATTCAGGTATTGCACTTTGCACTGGAAATTATTGCACTTTGCACTGCATAAACTTAAACTAGATAATCTTGGTTACACCGGATTCTGGATTTTGGTTCCTGGATATACTGCAATAATAAATAGAAAAGTCCCCAGATTCTGGTTCTTAAATATTCAATATTGACTCAAGGGGTCCATTCATTTGATTTTGCATATATCTATACCGAATATTTTTTCCAAGACATTAGAGCCGGGTTATTAGTGACAGCTTTCGGTAGCTTACAGTTTTTTACTGGTTCAAACCTCCATGCTGTCCTTTTAGCCCTGCCAAAAAGAAAAATGCTTTCACTCATTTGTCGTCTTTGGTTTGAGAAATTTTAGTTGATTAAGATTATTAAGTTGGATAATTCTAGTAAGACTTTACTTCTTCTACAAATTTAGGAATTTAGCTGCGTTATGTTTGAATTGCAAGGCATATATAACTGCCGCATGTTAATAGTTACTGTAAATGGCTGCTACAATATTTGTTTTTAAACATCGATTTTCTCCTATAGGTACCTTGTTCTTAAAGCCATACAAGAATGTACAGTATGGCCTAACAAGAATAAAAAAATTATCTTTTTTACCTTATCTGTGGGTTGTCCGCGTTCACCCCGTTTTTTTGTGGTGCGGGGCAGGACTACTCAATTACGCGCGGTTTGAAATTCAAGGTTGTCCCGCACTAAATGACGGGTAAAACGGGCATGGCCAACAGGCCAGGCCAGGTCTGTTTGCCACCCTAGTTTCTACCCCTTCAGCTAAATGGAAACCGTCATCATTCAGCATAAGTGGAATTTCTTACCTCTACTCTATCTTCTTTCTACAAACATTTTCAGCTATTTCAACTAATTATTTGTTAATCCAAAATCCAACACCTAAATAAACACAAAAACCATTCTTTTTGTACAGCAAACCAACCATAAAAAAACCCTACAAATTCGTATCTAGAAACATACCCTGAATGAGCACTGAAAAACAAGGATATAAGAAAGATGTACATTGAGGCTTGTGACAGAGAATGACGAGTAAAGCGATATTTGAATAGCATACAATGAAAATATGAAACAGAGAAAACGTAAACTTAGGAGGATAAGTTTACAACAGATCCCGAGGACTGGATTGTTGAGAGTGGCGGAGAGTAGGCAAACAAAATCTAAATGACGGGTAAAATAGGCATGGCCAACAGGCGGGGCCTGTTTTGCCACCTCTAATAGAAACCATGATCTATTATCCCTTTAAGGTACCTCAAAATTTTCTTCACAATTGTCAAATGCTCAAATGTGAAAGTGAGACATACATTGTTTTCTGTTTGGAAAATTTTTACATTTATCAATGTCCTAACATAATTACCGTCAGCTTTTTTTAAGCCACCAACCATAGGTGTAGAACCTGGAACACCTCCATGTTTATTTATTTACACAGTTGTGATTGTCAAATAGTACTCCTTAACATATGATTTTAAATGTGGTTGTTGCATATTTGATGAATTAGTCTTTTTGCTACATTTTAGAATTCATTCTTCTTGATGGCAGTACAAACTTGATCTCATGCTATGGCTGCTTTTTTATTTTTGGAGTAATATGAAGTTCTCGCAGAATGATTATTTTATTTTCTATTGATTTTGGAATAGTTATTTTTTCTCGATTCGTTTGTTATTTCCTTGTTTATGTGAATCTGTTGGTTTTGGATTTTGAAATATTTGCCACCGAAGAAATTACCAGGTTGAGTCGCGGACTAGGTCGCTCTCTTTAAGACGTTTCGCGGCACTGCTCAAAATTATGCAAAGCAGTCGAAACTACCGCGCCGCCTCCAGGATAAAACAGCTCAGTTCTATATTGTACGATTACTACTTGCATGATAGATAATCGGTCTAGAAATACACCCTCTGATGATACAAGACCATTCAAATATGGTATCAACACCACTCGTAGTATCTGGTACAAAGACCAGTCATAATAATTTCTCAAACAAAAAGAAACTCAAATAATTCTCCAAAGAGAATATAATAATGGTCATTTGACCACTCATAATAATTCCTCAAACAAAAAGAAACTCAAATAATTCTCCAAAGAGAATATAATAATGGTCATTTGACCACTCATAATAATTTCTCTAACAAAGAGAAATTCAAATAATTCGTCAAAGAGAATTCAAAAGATTAAACTTGAAAATTTCTCAACTCAAATGAGGAGAAATAACATAATTCTCTAAAGAGAATTCAAGAAAATACTCGGAAAATTCAATGAGTAGCAAGAAAGGGGAAGAAGATGGCGCTTCGACAATTCGAGAGACGCAGAGTTATGAGAGTGAAGAAGGAAAAACTAATAGAATAGTTTTTGGTGTGTTTTGGAATGAAACATATGCACTCCTTATATAGTGAAGTAATATAGTTAATATTTCTCACATGAGCAATGTGGGACTAAATGGTTTTTTTCAACCAAAAAGATATTCTAACAATGTGGGACTTGAGAAATTTTTAAATTCAATATATTGGAACATGGACATGTTCCAACAATCCCCCACTTGAATTTAAAAAATTGATTTTAGAAGTAACGTCAAATGTTTCTAAGATTGTGCATAAACAAAGGTGTCTACGACTTGAACCTTTGCATAGCAAGTAGGATTCTAATTCAACAAGAGTGACACAAATGTCTTTAACTCTATCTCAGACATCAAACCCGCAGACAACCTTTTCTTAAGGTGTATTCTAATATCCCGTGCTTTAATGACCCTGCACGTGTATCCCAGTTTAATGAAGGCTCTAGGAATTCTGCCTCGAAATTCCATAGGAACCGGCCTAAGTTCCACAATCACATAGGTGAGTCTATCAAGAGTACTCCTGTAGCCTAGGTACTCCCTCATACAGAGCATAGATCTCATTAAGAGTTTCTATCATCTCATCCTCTTATTACTTCAGGATTCATGATTTATTTGCATGATCATCTCATATTACTCACAACTTGTTATTACCCATTGAACCTATTTCTTGGGATCTCCAGTCATTTAGGTCGGGTTACCATCATGAGAAACTCATTTTCTTATAGGCATTAGTCCCATCTTATATGATGTATTATAGACTTTCTCTCTAGCTAATTCTTTCGTCAAATGATCTGCTAAATTTTCATCAGTGCGTACATGATCCACTCTTACAGCTCCTTTAGAGATACAATCTCTAACAATGTTGTGCTTTCTTCTTATTTGACGTCTTTTACCATTATAATAACGGTTCTTAATTTTTGCAATAGTCGCGGTACTATCGCAATGGATCAACACAACTGACATATGTTTTTCCCATAAGGGAATCTCAGTTAGCAAGCATCTTAACCAACTTGCTTCTTCACTAGCAGTCGCTAATGCTATATTCTCAGGATAGTATGTTTCTTTAATTTACAAGATACAACTCCTCTAGCTATGTTGAATACATAGCCACTAGTTGCTTTGGAATCATCTGATAAGGTATTCCAATCTGCATCATTGTATCCTTCATGTACAATAGGAAATCTATGATAATGTAAACCGATATTCATGGTCCTTTTAAGGTACCGTATGACTCGCTCAATAGCTTGCCAATGTTCATTACTCGGTCTACTAGTAAACCCGCACAACAATTCCACGACATATGCAATGTCAGGTTTAGTACAATCAATGGAATACCTAAGACTTCCAATGATGCTCGCATGTTCTGTTTGTCTAACACTTTCACCAGTGTTCTTAAACAGCTTCACGATTGGATCATTTGGTGTGCTCACAAGTTTACTGTCAAAGTAATTATATTTCTTTAAGATCTTTTTCACATATTGTGATTGATCCAAAGAAATTCCTTGCTCGGATTTTGTGATCTTGATACCAACAATCACACTCACTTCTCCGAGATCTTTCATATCAAAGTTGTTGCACAACAACGATGTCATATCATTAATGGCCTGAATGTTTTATCTAAATATGAGTAGATCGTCTACATATAGACATATGATAGTGCAAATACAATTCTCAAATTTGTAATAAACGTATTTGTCACTTTCATTCACTTTGTACACATTCGATATCATTAAGTTATCAAACTTTACATGCCATTGCTTTGGAGCTTGTTTTAGCCCATACAAAGACTTATCTAACTTACAGACCTTATTTTCTTATCCATAGATCACAAATCCTTCCGGTTGTTTCATATAGATTTCTTCTTCTACGTCACCGTTTAAAAAGTTGTTTTAACATCCATTTGGTGTACTATTAAATTATAAATAGCAGATATTGAAATAAGTACCTTAATGGATGTAATTCTAGTGACAGGAGAAAAGGTGTCGAAGAAATCTATATTTTCTCTTTGTCTAAAACCCTTGGCAACAAGGCAAACCTTGTATTTATCAATAGTTCCATCAGGTTTTAGTTTCTTTTTCAAAACCCATTTACAACCGATTGGTTTGCAACCAGGAGGCAAGTCTACTAAGTGTCAGGTCTTGTTAGATTCTAGAGATTATATCTCATCATTGATAGCTTCTTGCCATAACTAAACATCCAGAGATGACAAGGCTTCTTGAAGATTCATTGGATCTTCTTCTACATTATAAGTCGCATAATCAGGCCTATAGTCTTTAGCAACTCTTACTCGTTTACTTCGTTGAAGTTCTGTTTCTACATTGTCGTTGCTTTCTGTGCTTCTTATCACATGAATGTGACTCGATTGTGTGCCCCCACTATTTCTCAATTTGAAAGGAAATTTGTCTTCATAGAATTCAACATCAGTTGATTCTATGATCACTTTTGCCTTTAGGTCATAAAACCTATATGCTTTACTGTTTGCTGCACACCGAATGAAAACACATTCATATGCTCTACTAACGAGTTTAACTCGTTTCGGATCCAAAATTCTGACATAAGTCAGACAACCCCAAGTTCTCAAATAAGACAAGTTTGATTGTCTTTTCTTTAATATCCCATAAAGAGAGATCTTACATTTTGACTTGGGGACTCTATTCAGGACATAGCAAACAATCAATAAAATTTCCCCCACCAGTGAGGAGCAGCATCAAAAT